ATTATATTATATATTTAAAAGTTATATTTTGGTCAGATGTTTGACTCCGACACATTTCTGTTCTGTTTTAGTCTGTTTAAAAACTATAAAATGTATTTAAAAGAATTAAAGTGGATGTCCTTCTTTTTTATTTATCATTTTAAATAAAGAAATAATAATAATAAWAAAAACATCTGCTTGCCTGTCCACTGATAACATTTAATACCTGAGAACTGAACGACTCTCTGATCACGTTATTCATTTTGTTCTGTTCCTTCTTGATAAACCCTGCTGGCATTTAGAGATTTTTTTTCTGAATTTCTTTCCTGTGGATCAGTGGTCTAAAATTATTGCCAGTAAAGTGAATATAATGGATCGGAATTGAAGAGAACAGAAATAGCGGTCACTCTCACCTCAGTAAATGTGCGGTGGGCTTGATTGGTGCTGAATGACTGAAATTCCTTTCAGCGCAGAGTTTTATAACGACCTTGGGAGAAAAAGAAAATAGTTTCACAGAAGGATGAACTCAGGCTGSACTGAAAATGTCATTTATTGGAACAAAATATGAGAATCTGCACACGGGAACACTTTCTCCCTTTTAGTTCTCAGTTATAACTTTAACGTGCCATGAATTCATGTTCTGATTTGTGTGTGGGTTTGTTTGTGTGTTCATGCACTTCCAGGATCCGACTTGTGTGGTCAGCCCCGTCATCGATATCATCAACATGGACACGTTCGCCTACGTGGCGGCCTCTGCTGATCTCCGTGGAGGTATGAAAACGCTTTCTTCCACCTTCAGTGTGAAAAAATCAAACCTGGCTTTGAGGAGCCTTCAGGGCAGCTTATGATGGCAGAGAGAAAGCCCCCCGAGGCTTCTGGAGTTACCAGAAGGCCCCCATGATGAGTTCATGAACCTTCTCTGCAGCTCAAACGCCTTTGAAATGTTGATTTCATTCAGACGTTTTCTGACAGGTTCACCGTTCCCAGAGGAGCTCTGGACAGTTTGAGTTTTTCAGCCTGATATTTTATTTGAGAAGTTCAGCCCCACTTGAAGGTATTAGCTTCATGCGTTCTTTCTTAAGTTCTACACAGCAGAGCTAAACGAGTCATATCCAAACACTCAAAATGTTTTTTTAACAGTGGTGAGCAGCGCTAATCTAAAAATTAGCTCGGTAATTTCTAAAGCACTTATGAAAATGTTTAGGTCCGCAACTTCAAAAACGCTTATGCCATAGAAAAACTTAGCAGAAGCTAATTTTAAAGTGCAAGWTCARTTTRACACTTTCTAGCTGGCAAATATTGTACAATATATGTACAACACTACCAGCTCGCAGTGTATGAACCCTTATACAGCTTAATCCTACAACCGCTGATTGCTGGGGATGTGATTTCCTGAAACAGACCTTTAGCTCCTGGTGTAAAACTTAAAAAGTTGTTGAGGATTGCTAGTTCGGCTGCTTCTTTGACTTCTTCTTTTGTTTGGTGTAGTTTTTCTTTAAAGAAGCAACAATAAAGTAATTTTAAAACTGTTTATTGGAAAACAGAAGCGATGCATTCTGGGTACATGACGGATTTGATTTGTGATGGGAAACAAAAGTTTTTCATGTAGTTGCTCCAGTTGACCACTAGATGTCTGTCTAACCCCGTTGGCGGATTGCTTCGACCAATCACGTCAAGTATTGAGCTCCAGTGTTTAAACTTTATTTTTTTTAAAAAAGAAGCTCTGATTGTAAACTAAAATAAATCAATACATACAAAATTTTAGTATGGATTACAAATGTCTACTGTTTTAGCTGGGACAGGGAGTTCTAAACACTGTCTTCCTGCTACGTAAGCAGACACAAAGCATTGTGGGAAATCAGAACACTGACCCAAAGCAACAGTCAGCAGGATGTATACCTTCACAATAAGTGTGTTTATCTGGGAGGGGTGCTGTTGTGTAGATCATGTGTGTTGTGATTCATTGACAGTCATRCCTTCTGCTGTTCAACATAATGATGACTGGTAGATAATTAGTTATTAGCGGTACTGCTTTTTAATTTTAGAAAGCGCAAACCTGCTTATGAATTATAGAAATTAGTAAGACCGCTAAAGCGCAAATGAAATATTTAGGTCCGCAATTAGTGGATTTGCGCTTTAGTGGACTGGTGCCCACCACTGTTTTTTAATTTTACTCAGTTTATCCTAGAGATATGAAAATAAACATCCAGATTTCTGAACACAAACATCATTCACTATATGATGCAGTTTCTGAAATAAATCCAATTATGGTCTTTATATGAGTAAAATACAATCCATCTAATTATTTGATGTATTTCTATAAACATTCACTTATCGTAATGTTTCAAAACTTTATTAATCYCATAAAACAAAAATTCTATGTACAATAAAAAAAAGAAAATGCAAATAAAATTAAATGAAAGGCAGCAGAGAGAAGAAAATAAATCTTATATCTACCTCTTTTTTCTCAAGCATACATTCAAGCTAAAATATTTCTTCAGTCAACAAAACAAAACAGYGACTCTTTCTASAACAACAAATTGAATGACTGCATATTAAACAATATCATGTTTTTTAACAGTCTCTCATTCTCTTAAACATGTACATTGATGTCGCACTTTTAACGTCATCTTCCAGATTATTCCACAATCTGAGTCCTTGGATTGAGCTGCATCGTTCTCTCAAACTGGTTCTAAATTTAGGTTTCATGAACGTCTCTATTCCCTTTAGATTATAACAATTCTCTCTCTTTGCAAAGTTTATCAGAATGTTTAAAGGTAATATGTTTCAGTGTGCTTTATACATAACTAACAAAATATTATAATCAGCCAAATCATAGTATTTCAGTATTTTCAGTTTACAAAATAATATATTAGATGGATATTGGTAGTTTTTTCTAGTGATAGCTCTTATATCTCTTTTCTGCAAAATAAAAACAGGATGTGTAATAGTCTTACATGCTTTCCCCGATACCTTAACACAATAGACCAAATGTGGAATAATTAATGTGTTTTATAACATATACAGAGCTTTATCATTAAACAAGTCCCTTACTTTGTAAAGCGATGCAATAGATTTAGCTAGTTTTATTTTTAAATAATCTATATGTAGTTTCCATGTCAGTTTATAATCAATAATAACACCCAAACGTATATAAAATGTATAATGCGAGCCCCATTTTTAAAAAAGCTTAGAAACATTTAAAAAATCCAATCCTTTCATATAATTCTACCTCTAATTTCATACATATTCAGGACTTCAGCCTTTGCTGTGTCCCCTCTAKGGTGGGGAACATTATTCGGGGACACACACTTTTTGGGGTTTTTGTTGCTACTAAGGAGGAGCAGCGCGACACACAACCAACGTCCACTTCTTTTTGTCTTCGCCGTTAATAAGAAAAAACAAAAACAAGTACTTCCTCCTCCAACTCAGGTATGAAAAAAAAAATCAACTATAATCATATAATGAGTCAAAATTTACTCCCGAGTATAGTACGACAGCCCAACTTTATGGTTTATTTTTGAAGTTAAATTTCTCACATTATACACACATAAAAACTAAGAAAATTAAGTGTTCGTTAACTGAAATCGAGATGAAACCACATAAATGTTGAATAGATTTAAATGTGAAGAGAATGAGGACCATAATGAACGGAGTTTTAATGCTGATCCGTCAGTCATGAAACCCACGCTGAATGAAAACCGGTGTGATGGTGTTTTGGGCATGTATCTAAACTATTTTAATCAAGACATAACAATAGTCAAACAATGGATTATAAAAGTCAATACTTTAAAAGGAAAACTAAGAAAATGGTGTAGTGCTTTTAAAATCAGTATCTAGCATGACTAATAAATTTCTTCAATACTATAAATAGAAAAGTTGAAAAGCAGGTTTGTGTACAAAGAATGGATCACTTGTAGAGAGTTTAGAGCTGTCCACATGACAAAGTTGTAGTTGAGAAAGGTTTTATTGTTTCAGCCACATGGGAACATTTTACCAGGAGAAAGATCAAAACTGTTTTTGTTCACTGTAAAAGTTGCAGACTTTTGGTGTAGACGGMCAAAGTACCAAACCTAACCTTCAACACAAATACGCCCATATTTTTCTACCTTCTGACCATGCTCCACACCTTGTTTCCTGTTTATGGTGCAGTTTTGTTGCAGGCCGGTACTCAAATTGTCTGGCATTTTTGCATTCACCCTTCTGGCCCAGGTGCACCCTGATTTCCGGAACCTTGAGAGCTGTGGTTCCAATCGGGCCATACTGAGACGTCAACTACTGTGGCTCACTGATTGGTTCACTGGCCGGGAGGGTTACGTCACACAAATATGTGAATCATTTGCAGCGACTGTAACATTTGTTTCATTCGTGTTCAACTACACAACAACAGAGATCTATCAACAACAAGAAAGCTAACAAAAAGCTAACATTAGCTTACCATCTTTAGCGTCATCCTGCTGGGTGGTACAGTTAAGATTCCAGACTTTTCCTTCGAGTTTGGTGTAATCCATTATTGTTTTCTTGCAAATACAAGAAAATAAGGTTGTGTGTTTAATTTTATGATGCCACCCATATAGAGGCGACTCTCTGCTCAATGCAGATACAATACAGGCTGGAGTAGAGTAACCCTAATTTACACTACATGCGTTATGGCTCCGCTCCAGTCTGACCTCCGCAGCCAATACGCAYCCATTATAATSAATGAGAGTGTTWAMACTGGCTCCGCACGGTGGCGGTGAGCGGCGGTGAGCGGACGGCGATCCGTCAAAATTAGATTTGATCCTATTATCCCCCGGATTTACACTATATGTGTCTCTGCTCCGCTGCGCTGCGCAGGTCGCAGCTGTTCATTTGTATCTCAATTGCCACATTCCGGCAGAAATAGGATCAAATCTAATTTTGCCAGATTGCCATCCGTTCACTGTCGCCGTGCGCAGCCAGTGTAAACACTCACATTGATTATACTGGGTGCGTATTTGCTGCAGAGGTCAGAGCGGAGCGGAGCTGTAACGCATGTAGTGTAAATTAGGGGTATTTCTGCCGGATGCCGGAGCTGCGCAGGAGTCAATTTTTAAAGATTATGTCACACCAACAGGAAGAGGAATGAGCACAACATCCGTATTTTCAAAATAAGACACTATTAGGTGGAATAATTTGTCGGAATAATGTCGAAATCCCAGCTATATTAATAAATATATGGATATATTTATACACAAACGCTGTCAGAATGTATCGTTCTGTTTGGGAAGCAGGTGGAAACATGTAGCATGAAGCATATGTGTACACACACGATACACGTGGATTTTATTTTGAAATCAGAAGTTTCAGAAAGCTGACAGCGAGACAGTTTCAACATAGATATCAAAAGCCTTTATATCAATGTTTTCAGCTGTGTTTGGAGTTCGTCTTTCACAGAATTAATTATTTTTTGCTGTAACTTCCACATTTATCACTGAATTAATCGAGCGATTTCCTTCCTGCGAGCGGAGCTGAGCGGAGCGGAGGTTGTATAAATAGAGACACAAACGAACAGCTGCGACCTGCGCACCGCAGCGCAGCGGAGACGCATGTAGTGTAAATTCTTGGTAAGGCTGGGCCGTCTGGAGCTGGGGCAATCCCTACAAAGCAAAAACACCTAAAGTTTACTTCAGCATCCGAAAGTTACTTCATCTTCAGGGTGAAGACATGCAGCAACAAAAATATGTGGCATATTTACAGGAACATGTTCAGAAAGGAAAATATAACATTTTTGTTTGGACACAGACTTGGTGTCTTCTTCTGCTGCTGTTCCTGCTGTGTAGTTGTATTGTTTTCTGTTAATGACACCTACTGTTTCAGAGAAGAACTTCGGTTTTCGCTACTCCTGTATGTTTGTATCAAATCGTCAGCGGATCAAATTAAATAAAATGAGCTCAAACTCCACTAAGTCTCATCAAACTGGTTTCCTAAACTTTAATCTGCCAGGTTAGGATGAAAAAAAGTGACCAAATCCACCTTTTATTGACTCTGAAGGATCGTTGGATCCACTGTCCTGAAATAAGTGATGTTTTGTTGGGATGGAGACYAAACATGAATGTTTCTGCAACCATCGGAGCATCACTGACTGATTATGTGAAATAGAAAACCCCGAGGCATGCTCTTCCTTTTAGCGTGACAGGATTCTGTAGTTACACACGAGCTGAAACTAAATGGTCTGAAAATAATCCAGAACAAACACGCATCAGTGTTCCACCAGCCCTCCCCCTCTCCATCACCAGTCTCCTCTAAAAGTTTTATACTTCATGTTTCCTGTTATTAGCCTGTCTTCTCCGAGTCGTCTCCTAACAGCGATCAGTGCCAGTCAGTTCTGATAATAGCCCTGCACACACAGTAATAGACTCACACAACAATGTGTGTGTGTTACTGTGCAGTCAAGCAGAGCTACACCAGACTTTCACTGTGAAGATYACAAAACTTTGCTTCTTTTTGTGTGTAAATGATGCACTTTTCTGTTTTTGCTTTAAWTGTTTGTTTAATGAATGTTGTGTTACTGTTTGTTTCTTTCAGAACTGCTTTAAAGGCACAGTGTGTAGGATTTTGTCAATTCGTTTCGCCGAAATTGAGATAATCACTAATGACAATAATAAAAAACATGTCTAATCATTGCAGACTAAGACCTTGTTTTATT